ATTCGAAGATCAAAATCATCGCCACCAAGATATAAATTACAAGCAGCTGCCTTCACTTCAATAATATTCTCTTCAACAGTCACAAAAGACACACTAAGACTACCACTTCCAAGATCAACAATCAATAAATTTTGTTCACCTATTACTAATTTATGTGACATACAATAGGTAATTGCTGAAGCTGACGTATCACTAATTGTAGTAGTATCAAAGCCTGCTGCATGACCAGCATTTACAATAGCTTTATTTTGTGTTAGATTATAGCAGTCTGGAATTGCAATAGCGACAGAATTAACTTGTGATCCAGTGAAATCTTCGGCAAATTTTTTAATTTTTGACAACACCATAGTACAGATTTCTTCGGGAGTAAAATATTTAGTGAAACCCATTTCCTCAACTTGAATATTAGGTCTACCATTCCTATTAACGACATTAAATTGCCAATCCTAACCCAAAGAAAAATTATTAGTTATATGAAATATAATGTCATATTGAAACATTTTATTGAAAGAGTTTATACGTACTTTAATACTATTTTGAATAATCGGGTCACCAAAATCATGACCAATGAGTCTTTTAAAACCGTAAATAGTATTAGAACAATTTCTAAATATTTGACTTTTAGCAGTATCACCAATTAAACGTCCATAATCAGTGAATGCTACATATGAAGGAGTGATACGATTTCCACTATCATTTGTAATTATTTGAAATTGATTATTTTTCCACGTACCCACACAAGAATGTGTTGTTCCCAGATCGATACCAACTAATAATTGAGTATGTTATTCAATTTAGAATTCATACGTTATACATATATTACTAAAAATACTAATAAACATACTAGACATATTTCTAAAGTACTGTATTTAGTGTTTGATGAGATCGATCGTATCGTTATGAAAAAGTAGGGATTTATCCTGCTTAAACTGGTTACACATCGCAGACCACTTCCATGTCGATCAATCACATTTTGATCATTGTATCGGTATGTTTTTTTAAATCTTGCATAACCTATCTCTGCTATGAAATGTAAAATATACTAAGCAAACTTTAAAGTTTTCATACTAGATTTCATTAATATCAGTTGAATTCATTCGTATCCAACTTTTATTATATTAAGTTTCACCTAGCCAAGTTTATGCGAGGCAGATATGAAAATAAGCGTTGTGTGTATGTTAAACTACTAGATTGTTAAGGTTCAGTTCGCTGACCGAAAGCAATGATTTATAATATATTATATGTTTATCATAAATGTTCAATTAAATATATAAATAATAATTGTTTTTTATTACAGAATTTTTTAGAATATTACAGAAACATTTACAGGTGACTCCCGTTAAAATCAACCCTTTTGAATTAGACAATTGTATTGATATCTACGAGGGTTGAAGAGAATATTATTGAAGTGAAGGCAGCTGCTTGTAATTTATATCTTGGTGGCGATGATTTTGATCTTCGAAT